GAGATAATTAGAGTATATTAAAAATTTCCATAACATTTTGTGTTTTCTAGCTTGCATCTCGGAAAGATGATTCTTCAAAAATCAATCACATCATCTATCTCTTTACGTTCCTTAAAGTTATCCAAATAAGCAGTCTTTCAACCTTTTCGAAGAACAGTGAATGTTTAAAAAAACAATTTTTTATACGCAGTAAGGCATTGTTATTAATTTAATAAGTCAGATTTAATAATAAGAGTTATACTTTTAATATGGCAGTAAAAATAAATTTAAATTAACGTTGTAATTAAGTAGAAAAATAGTTAAGTGGCAAAATATTAGAATATGCCTATGTTTTCCTCCCTTCCCTTTTAGAATAAAAATATCAAAAATATCACTGAACATAAGATTGCAATCCTTGTTGATATATATTAAGAAAAAACTTTATTTGATATTTATTAGCATCCTATGAAAACGTACTTTATAATTATTGTAATAATGTTGGGACCTCTTTTATGAGGTTTGAGTTAATTGCAGTCCTTTCTACAAACCGACGAGAAATAATTATCATTTGGAATCTTTGCATTTTGTCCCTATCGGTTTTCATCCCATGTATTTTATTGCATCCTATTTAGCTGTAACATTTTCGTGATTTTATTCTAAGCAATCTGTTCTGAGTCAAAATTTTCATCTGGTCCTCACTTTTGCGGTAAGTAACTAACTCATTGTTTAGCAATAAGTAAGAAGTAAACACAGCTCAGAAAACAAAGGCATCTATATCTTTCTCTAATCTTTATTGTACTGTGAAAAGAATAAAAAGATTTATTTCTAAGGGCATTTTGACTTAAGTTATTATCTGAGTAATAAGCGTTGAAGTTGTTATTTCAATTGCAATTTAAATTTTACTATAAATTTAACTACGTTAAATAATTTTTTTAGGTACAATCTTACAACTGATTTCAACTTGCAAAAACTCTTCTACTTCTGTGAAAACTATAGGTACAGGTACAAGTGAGCGAGACATCAGAATCTCCCCACTGGTTGTACAGGTACAATCCTACCACACTAAATATGCAGCTCAGCCCTAAGTTTGATAGAAAACCCCCAAATGACGATCCAAGTGTCTCTCACGTCTCTTCTTTTACCACCAATCCACTCCAAAGGAACTTCTTCTCGCCAGTATTTTAATTGTCCCCATTCTGCATAGACACTTTTAAACATTTGTGAATTCTACAGGATTCGACTTCGTTATGGGCCCTTCGTTACCGCAGACAGAATCGTTAACCACAGTATGATCAGGATGGCTCTGGAAACTGCTGGGATTTTGTTTCTACTTGCGATTGAATAGGGGTTAATACGCTTAGTTTCTTAAAATAGTGCTGCAACCTGTATGGGCCAAATCGACCCTATTTTTCCTAAATCTTATGCATTTATATTCAAAATGATGTGTTCAAAACGATAATTCAGCAAAGATTACTACTTAAGTGGCTTTGCTAGTGACTGTTCATAGGCGGAAGAGGCTGGATTTGCATTGTTACAAACAGTGGTCTTCTATAATATTTGTAAAAGTTGCTTCTCTGATGAATCATATTTTTTGCTTTATCGGATGGCTGGAGGTTAGCGCATACGGCAAGAAAAATAAGAGAATAAAAAATCGTTGCAGACAATACGCGCCTTTCCTCCTGGAACTGATAGCATTTTCGAGTAGGTCAGTGTGTGACGAATCACACTGAACAAAATATGATTGAGTGGTTGGATGAGCATGAGGAAGCATTTATTGAATTTCACGGGCTCTTGAATTCTCTAGAGTAAAACTAAATCAACTGGAATCTATTGGAACGCCGCTGGTCTCTAGCATGGATGTTATAATAAGAATTCTCCAGCACCTATAAACTGCACTGCGGTTAACACCGCGTATCTCTTTGATTACTTTTCAACACCTTACTGAATTCTCCGCGGTTAGTCTAACCACTATACCATGATTATTATTCCTAACATCAACAGGTGATCCTGTTAGTGTAATTCGACTGTGTATTATGTACCTGTTACAGAATCTGTCCCTTCCTTAATTTTTTTCTATTGGTTTTTGATGAATACTTACTGCTCTACAGAACTAGGTACAAGTGAACGTTAATTTAAAGACGCCCTATGTGAGACTGTATACAATGAAATTCTGAATTAAAACGCATTATTGACGGTAGTCTTACGACTTTATTTTTATTACATATGGCAAAAATCTTATGATAGCTAAAAAGGTTATTTTCTACTTTTTGATAACTTTAACTACATCTTATAAATTTAAACGTTATTTTTAAACATTTCGTATTTAAAACCAATGGTTTTTATTAAATGATAATAGGAGGATAAGCACTGTTTTGAAGCCCATCACAGTTATTACTGTCTATCTCAACTTCATATTTAAGATTTGCATGTAAATAACTAACAGCATTCGAAATTTAATTTAAGAAAATTTGTTGTAATTGGTCGTCTATGTTGCATACATTATAAGTCGTAATAGAACTTTTTTTTTTTTTTTTTTTTTAATTTTTGTTTTAAAACTAACTTGGAGAATATGATTTAGAATTTTGTAAATCAAAAAATGATTTCCATTTGAACTCTAATCAATAATTTCTGAGTAAACCTTAATTATCACTTACAAGTTTTTGAATCTTTTTTTTGACCGCCCCTCCCCAGGAAGAACTGGCTATAAACGGACGTTAGTAATCATCTTTTTTATGCTTTAGGTCCAAGTTAGAGTTGAGGATTGATGCTTGTAGGTTTTAAGCCATATTAGTTATTAAAATATACTAAGCGGTTTTCACTTTGCTCTTTACCATATACCTCGTTCTGCTGCAAAGTTCTAATGCAATCTTAGCAAAAAAATAGAAATTAGAAATATTTGAGAAAATTTGATACCATGAAAGACATAAATATTCAACGTTTTATACATCACTGTTACTGGCTTTTCTATTTATAATATGAAAATTAAATTTTCACTCAGAGTAACAAAAAGATACAAACAGTTTATTAATGTCTTCGACAAATTTTGTTATACAACGCTTACCTTCACAGAATGCATCGAATAGGAAAATAAAAAATGATACAGTGTGCGTGCTATTTAATCTGACAAGCTGAGGCGACGAAAAATTTTACTTGTGGCTGTAGGGAATTAAAGTCCGAAGAGAAGATTAATGGTACTTTAAGTTTTTCTCTGATCTAGACAAGTGGAGGCTTTCCTTTTAATGCGCTTTTGTAAATAAAGCAGGATATTCGTTAACATATTCCAGTTTGGAGTTGAGTATCTTTTAGGATATGCGCTTATGTTCTAATTAAACAATGGATGCTTATCTCCTGCTCGAGTTTGATGTACTAATCTGAATAACCCTTATTAATATTTACATGAAACTCCTGTTGGCTGAATGCAACCAAAATTAAGCTAATTGTAAATGGTGCTGTAAACTAAGACTTAATGGATGAGCCTAAAAACCTTCATTTTCATTTCTTTGAAATGAACTTTGTGCGGTTTCTCATTATTGATAAGCGTATTCAGTTTTTTTAATACAAAAAGTGTTGCCCAAACGGTATAGTGGTTAGGAGAGCCTACTACGGTACCGAAGAGCCCGGATTCGTATCACGGAGAAGGCATTGTAAATGTATAGTGTCGGTGCGGCATGGCGGTACTCTAAATATCCGTCGAGCTGAAAGTCCTCTCGTGTAAATGGGTGGAAGGGGAGAGGGGGTGGGAGATCCCTGGATTCCTGCCCACGGTGCTGCCCCTCAAAATTGGGGTGGAAAATATAAGACCAACCTCTCTTTGAAGTAGGCTCTGGCAACCATTGTTCCATGCAATATGGGTAAGACAACAACAACAACAGCAATACAAAAAGTAATTTTACTCAAAAATGATGGTTTTATTAAAAAAATGCATTATCATGGAAATTATCTGAAGTCATTTATTGATAATATTGTATGAAGTAAATGTTGGTTAGGAATACTGAGAGATTTCTTGTTTTGTTGTAGCTTACAAATTTTAATTTGGAATATAATTTTTATAACTGCTTTAGCACTGCCCTGTGCAATTTAATAATAACATATAATAGATTATATTAGTATATTAGTCTTTATAGTATTCGCAGGTCAGATCTTTGTAAATATTTAGGTATCAAAATTGTGAGGTACTTTACGTGTGACGGTATTGACTGAACTGCTTAGTGATCTTCGGTTAATACTACCGTCGTTAAACAGGACTAATAGCTTAATGCTTCATGTTTTTTTCTTTTTATATATATATATATATATACGATCCTTTTAACATTGGTGTAATCACAATACTAACACATAAATGAAAAAAGGTACATGCAGCTGAGACGGTATTGTAACGCAAAATTCACATGGTGTAATACCGTCCTGTATTTACCGAAGTTTCATTCGAATAACGTTTTCTCTACTGTAGTTACAAAAAATTGAAGCAAAATTTTGAGTGACTATGGGATCTATTAAAAGCAATAATTTTTGATAACTAACATGATGATAACACCATATTAATGTAGTATATTAGTGCTTTTAATGCATTACAGAGTCTTAGGAAGGCGTTAAATAGTTTTTTAAAACAAAGATTTTGCTCGGTAGTGCTATTGATAATACTAGATAAATAATAAGTAATAAGAATTTGAACAGTAAAACGCTTTTGTTCTACGCAATTTCATTAAAATTGGAGTTCATAGAAAATTATAGGTATAATTATTATTGATAATATTAAAATATTTATTATTGCCTGTAATTAAATATTGCTTATTTTATTTTCATTATCCCTGAAAACTATGCACTTTTAACTCATGCTTTGGAAAAGTATAATCTAAATGAATAATTATTAAGATAACACAAGTATACTTATAAAAATAACTGTCAACATTATATTCTCTGTTGCTTCTGGAACTATATTATATACAGACGTATTACATGTTTGTTAAAATAGTATTATATTTGATATAAAAAGTAAATCGGAACTCAAAAACAAGATAATATAATATTAAAACATTTTAATGGATTACAGGAAAAATAGAAAATGTTATCAAATTTTGAGATGGTATTATTTAATATAAGGACATCCAATAGGAGTTACTATTGCTAAATTCATCAACGGTATTTTTTGTTGTTGAATGAGCTCTGCAATGTTTTCAATATTAGATATGAGGCTGGATATCTGAGGCTGAACGTCGGCTCTTTATAAGTTGACCAACTTGACATTTTTTTGTCTCTTTCATAAAATCTTCCCGGTCAAACGCGTTAACTGCAGCTGAGTTTTCTTTACTTAATGTGTTACCATACTTATTGCGATAGTTCTCCAAAGCTTCTCTGTTAATAAATGTTTCAACAACTCTTAACGGTGAACTTTCTTTGTCCTTCAAATCTTCATTTACCATACACCGACCCTTTGTGCTAAGAGTTTGCAAAGGATCATCGCTCCATGTGTTGCATTTGGGGAAAGTCTGTAATGAGGATCCTTCCGGTGGCATGTCGACAAAGGGATCAGTTCCAGAGGGAGTGAGGTGATCTAGTTGAAACACCCTTTTACTGTCCAAATCAGTTTTCCCTTCTTTGAAGTGTTGGCTTAATCTCTTGCCCGTATCAGTGAGATGTACTATTTTATGAGGATAAACATGTTTTCTGGCTTTGATACCTTTCAGCTGTGTTGGCTGCTTTCCGGTTCTGCGAGCTGCATGTTTTTCGCTTTCTCCGATTTCGCTAGTTTGGGCGATATGTTGTTGATGCATTGCATCAAATGCACCTGAAAAATAATATGGGAATATAATTAGACACGTTCTTAATTTTATGAAACGTTTGAACTTATAAATCGTTTACTGTTTCATAATTTTGACACTTCTTTCAAAAGGGAATCTCAAGAACCGATATTAGTGCTCTCCTTTCAGTTGCTCGGTTTCCACTAACAGTTAAAAATGCCTCAAACTTTGATAAAACACATGCTGATTAACTTTAGATGATGGAGTAACGTGATATCTTTAAACGTTGTGGTTATATATTAAGTTACGTATACATATTATGCTTTGAATAGTTACTGAAAATGGAGATTTTCGTTATTTATCATTCGCTGAAAAGAAAAAAAAAAAAAATGCTAAATATTTATAACCACATTATAAACTGAGATATAGCACGTGCTCTTCTCATGCAAAAAATTATAATATATTGATGGATACATATGATAACATCTTTCACATCTAGACGCAAATTATTCTCCTGTGGGAAAAATACATTTTTATATTGCTATCTTTACGTATTTGTAATTTTCACTATTATCATTGATATTCGTGTTAAGTTATTTTGCCGAATAGCTTGTCTGCTAATAATTGTTTAATTAATCGTCTAACTGCTAATAATTATTAATATCTTCAAAGTTGCTCCTGGCAAATTTTATTTCCTTGTGCGAAGTAAAGGAAGTACTGTAATCGCGAAAAATTTCAGGTATAAAATTTCAACGAAAATATCCATTTTGAAAGCTCTCGAATCCATTTAACCGATAATTTAGCGTAATATTTATGCTTACGGACATCATAAAGGACTCTTCTTCCCCAAACGGATTAGAAAATAGATTCAGGAGAGATTTCTTTCGTGACGTCTGTACGTACGTGTACGTATGTACATACGTACAGTCGCATAATTCAAAAACGAATATATTCAGAACGTTGAAATTTTGTATATGGGACTACTATAACATGTAGTTTTGAAAATCTGTTTTTAGATTGCAATCGGCAGCACCAAAACTATATATATATATATATTATATATATATATATATATATATATATATTTATACACACTCTATTACCCGTGTCGGTGAGCTCAGTTTTTACTTCTTATATGTTAGTAAATTGCGCTTTTTGATTTAAAAGTGATGTTGTTCTTATGCTCCAGTTATGGTTTTTATGCCTTTAGTTAATCTGCATGCAATAATGTCTGCATGCAATGTTGTAATCCAAATTTAAACATTGTTTGAGTGCTCCTAAGCCTGACGAAGCAGCCATTTGTTTACATTTGAAACTCTTAGTAGAACAGTGAATTTAATCAATTTCTGCACCAACTGAACAACTGCCTCAATTTCTTGCCGAGTGGGACGAACAGTAAACTTTCAGTTTAGTTTTGTGAACCGAGATATCTATTTTCCTGCCCGCTGTCCGAATTGCTTTTTTTTTGCTTAGAAAGTCTAATTTTAACTGTTAAAACTGTTTTTTTAACTGTTTTTAATTCTATTTGTTTTATGTTTTTCTGTATTTTACAGTTTTAATGAAGGTGTTTTGAGGTTTTATGTATTTTTGCCATGCCACGGAGTGAGAAATGAATTAATTTCGTGAGAAATATATCTCTAATGAAATTCGAGGAAATGCGTTTAAAAAGAAATGCAGCAAAAAATGTGCATAATTTAATAGGCCGTACTAGGAAGTCATGTCTTGTCCACATCACAATTTTTTTTTCTGATAACCACATTTAGCGATGTTTCGTGGTTTGACACCAAATCTCCGAAGAATTTGTTGCTAATGGAATAGTACCAGTTAGCCTTTATGATTTGAAAACAGAAATTTGCATTAGTACTTATTTATTAAATCTTTACAAGAAATGAATATGTTTTTTAAAATTGCACTCATATTAAATCTTAAATTTTTTTGCTATTTTACAAATTTCACCATACTTACCATTTTCGTCTTGTTCTTTATCTTTTTTATTATCTTCGATTTGTCTCACCTCTTTGCTTTTTGATGATGCGTTATCATCTTCGTCAAAAAATACGGTGCAGATGCTAGTTTTGGAAGTGTTTGGTGAACTTTGATCAGCGTCATCGTCTATAACAGCTAAACGAATTCAATCGAAATATATTAGTCATTACTTATAAATATTGTAAGGAAATTAAACTTAAGTGTCATACGTTTTATATATAAACACGCTTTTTTGGAAACTGATATCGAAATGATTAAACCACTGAAATTAAACGGAGTTCCATTTATAATCATGAAGAGTCAAAAAAAAAAAAAATAACATTGAACCAAAAAATGAATAACAAAATAAGTGTAAAGCGTGAAGAAGAGCTTTAACCTTTAAAGACAACTCGTGGTTAACTAATTGGGGGTGCCGTATTCTAGACCCATAATTAAAATATACTTTTCTCTGATATTTTTCAAATTCGAGGAAATGAAGATTAATTTTTTCATCCCAGGAAATAAACATTACTTTTAATTATTTTTACTGAAAATAATCAGGATGCCAAGATACGCATAATAAATCTCAGCTAATTTAAAGAAATAATTAGGCTTGTGGAACATGTAAACCTACTAATTAAAGGTTAACAGCATACCATTCATAAAGAAAATAATTGTGGGACATAAATGTTTAATCTTTGTCAACGAAATATTGTTTAATTTACTTTTTTCTTTTGTTGTCTCTTTTTGCCACGAGATCAAGTTTTATAGATTTGATTGGTACCCAGCTTTATTTGGAGATTTACGGATCAAAGTATGAGAGTTTGTTTTACAGCTCCGATGCGTTGCCGAATTAAAGCTGAGTTCGTTGGCAACGATAATCCTAGTCTTGCAGTAAACATGTCGATTGAGTTTAGGGATTGTTTCTATAAACGGGAGTTTGAATTTCTTAAGCGGTCTAGCCAAGCTTGTAGTCTATAGTCAAATTAGATTTAAATTGTTGAATTTATATCCAATTTTGAAAGGAAGCTTTTAGTTTAAGACAGATCAAGATTGGCTGGGAAATTTATGTTTGTATATTTTAATTTAATCACTCAGACGTGGTGAGGTAGAATAAATATGAAGTGTTTTAATGCTGTGTCTGTCTTTTTGATGGGCAGATAATCTAGGGGTGATAGTTCTCCTCACAGAAAATATTATTATTATTTGGAGTCCACAACAAATATATTACAATATTATCTATTTCTTACCTTGACGTTCTTCTTGGCTTACTTTTGGTACAAAAGGCTGAGTAGAGATACTTTGTACTGATCTTGTTCTGTCTTTTATTGAGGGTCTTCTATCAGGAATAACGTCTCCTCGGGAGAAATGTCGATGGCCATAAGGTTCACCGATTTGCCCTTCTTCTGACAAATCATTTCTACAGATTCTGCTAGTTTTGTCTGTGTACTGAGAACGATAATCATGTTTCTTCTGAGGATCGAACTGTCGATGCTGTCTCAAATGTCCTGGTGATACCTGCTTAGATCCTGGAAGAATAGCCTGCGCGTGAGGATGTTTGGAAGATTTTACAGGTTGTGCTGGTAAACTCTTGTGTGGACTTCTAGGAATAAAAAATGATACGTAATTTTGTAAAGCAGGTTTTTCAGGAGTTACTGATATACGTTTCAGAGAAGGACTCATCTTTCGCTGTAGAGAACGGCTTCTTTCTTCAGCAGATCGATACATCTTCTTCGGAGATTTAACTGAGGATTTGTAGTGTCCCGAAGTATGATGCATTATTTTTTCTGAAGAGTGTTTAGATACGTTATCATTTTCCTCAGTTCCTTTTCTTGAGTCGTGTGTATTTTCGTACTTTCCTCTTATTCTCTTTTCTGTTAATTCTTCCCTCTGTGATTTTAAATATCTGTCATCACAATGCTGCTTATTTTTAAAATAATATTCGTATTTGTTACGTACTTCTATAGAAGGTGATATTTGTTTGCTCTTCTTTCCTAGAAAAATTGAATGTTTTTGTTAAGGGAAGTTTATCACGCAGATAAATTAAATTAAAATTAGTCTAAGGAACATAAATTTAAAAAAATGTAAAATTAAATTGATGGACGTGCAAACCAGTTCCATGCAAAATTCATGATTCGAATATTCATATGAAAGTAGCTTGGTAAGGTATTTCTCTCGCCTTTTTAGCATGCCTTCGGGGTGTAGTGGTCAGCACTCTCGACGCGTATTCGAGAGGTCCGTCGTTAGAGACACGATAAAGGCATTGCTGACATTTCATGCTTTAAAAAAAAAAAAAAAAAAAAAAAAAAAAAAAAAAAAAAAAAAAAAACTAATATCTCTACAGTGGCGCCCGAACCAAAATATGGTGAATGATGATTCTTCACCACCAAGATTTGGCGATTAGGTCCCTGAAACACCAGTCGCCCTTTAAAAGGGGGAGTATATAAGGTATTTCTCCCGCCTTCGTGGTGTAGTGGTCAGCACGCTCGACGCGTATTCAAGAGGTCCATGGATCGAGTCCCATCGAGGGACATTTCATGCTTCCAAAAGAAACCCAACATCTCTACAGCTTAGCTTATTTAATTTAAATAGGAAATTAAAGGAATATAATTTAGCATCTTCATAATTCATCGGATTGGAAAGTATATATCTGTATATAGAAAATAAAACACGAATTGTCTTTTTTTAAAAAAACTGCACATATAGCTTTTAAAATACTTGTAAAGGAATTTTTTTGAATATTTCATCATAATAGATGCGTCGTTTTCATTTCCATGAAACTTCGGTACGTTTCGATTCAAAAATATTTTCAATTATACAGATACCAACATGCATGATTGAATGAAATTTTTTCCGCTTTTACTCATTCCTTGACAACTGCATTCTTGAGGAATGAGCAAATTTTAATAATAAAATCATTATCCAGCATATTAGACAGATTTAATTAACTTATATTAACTGATAATAATTTTATACTAACTTTTACACTGAAGACCCTCATCGTGTGGTGGCTAGAAAAGTCTTAAGTAGTATACTTTTGTTCAAGAAGTGTTCGTATTCGCAAAGAAACGCATAACTAGTAGCGAGTAGTGTTGTTTCAACCCGTCATTATGGGTGTAATTACAATCTCTTGTGCACAATATTATCTGTGATGATTGGGTGAAACTATTAAATGAGATGATCACCGTATGACAAATGGAAAATCGGCATCTGCTTTACTAATGATTGAGGGATTTTATTTTCAAGAGTAAACGATAGAAATAAATGCACATTATTTTCCCTCAAAAATAAGCAAAGGTTTGCTTTAAAATCAGAAACACTGTTTTCTCCAAAATAAGAATTAGCTTTCTCTATGTTTACAGACCTAACATAGAATATATTAAAAATTAAAATAGAATAAAACAAAACACTTGTATTATGAAATCTTCGAATTATAAACTACCACTTCGGTAAAGATGCTACCATTAAGTATTAAGTTGTAGTTCTGCTGGTAAAAAACTGATGTGTGGTTTACTTTTTCGTTATTAAGATAGAAATAAAAATAGCAGAAATAACAAAATTTCAGAAATTCGAATAATATTTTAGATAATTTTTACAGATCACGTGGAAATTTTATTTATTTTAAAGTTCTGGTTCCACGAGCATGTGATTCGTTAGAAATGAATTTTTTAAAATTCCGATTCCAAACGTCGTGATAATTGTTAATATTAAATTTCTTAGGGAAATTCTGTATTTTCGTCTACAAAATGAACATTAATTTAATATTAAATGTTACTGTTATTAGAGCTGAAATGCTTCTGTTAACGTAATGTTATCAATTTTACTTAACAGAAATGCAAATTCAAGACATTGCAGATCACACGTTTCACATACTTACGCAGTTTCCATCTTGCTGTACTTTCTTTAATTCTTATAAAATAGAGTGATTTTATAAATTTTATTGTTTATAAATTAAGTTATCAAATTGAATGAAAGATGGCTGTAGACTGGAAGACGAAACCTCCGTGTTATGGGTCTACCCTATTTTTGCTATAAATGGTCAAAGTTGTTATAAAATACCTTTCTGTCTTTGACATTATCTGCAGTTGAAACTAGCGAATGGGATATACAGACTGGGGAAGGCATAAAAAAGATTATTCATTTTCTAATTTGAAATAAAATTAGTTTGAACGCACACCGCATTTGCGTTTTATTAGTAGGTTTTCTTCAGTTTTTTGTAAGTTCTTATTAATTTTACTTATTATTTGGAAACACAAAATCATCGAGTAAAATCATAAATTATAATGAAGTTGTTATTTTTTCAAACAGGCAGAAATTTAAAAATAGGCTTTAACTCAAAACCGTTTGAACATCACTGCATTAGAGAGTCAAATGCTGATATAAATGCTGCTGCGGCTGTTTAGGGAATTTAGAAGATTTCATAATGTATGTAAAGGTCCAATGTCTGTTGTAACATTCAGAGGTATGATTACACAATTCGTGGAAAGTGGATTGCTAGGAGTTAGAGCCGTCACAGTACAAAAAGCAGTGTCAAACAAAGCAAGAAAAGACGATGCCACTGAAGTGTTCGACGACTCGGGGACTAGCAGTGATTCAAGCCGTTGCGCTCGTCAGACAGGTATTCTTTATGCTGCTGTCAAGAAAATCTTACGGAAAATACTGCATTTCTATTATTTCTAAACAACGAAGCATAAACTTTCTACTATTTCTGAAACAACTAAGCATGAATGATTATGATAAGAGCTTGACTTTCCCGCTAGTGTTTCTTGCCCGTGTGGAAATCGCCAAATATTCGCCTTGAAAAATATTGTGGGGAGATTAGGCCCATGTTTACTTGAATGGTTCACTCAGTACTCACAAGTGTCGAATTAGGGGATATGAACACCCACAGTGATTCATCAAGAGGCACTGAATTTGAGGAAAGTAACCATTCACGTCTGATTTCATAATAGGACCGTACCGGTTTTAGAATATTACTTCTATAAAAAGAATTCACATCCAGTTTCACAGCAGGACCACACTTTCTTGAGAATATGACTCATGTTTCCTACACCTTTTACCAATGAGAAATAACAACAAATGCTGAAAACTTTTGTCATTCCTGAATTACAGCAAAGACAATTCTTGGATTCGATAATGTTTACACATGATGGAGCACAGCCATATATTTTTCGTTCAGTACATAACCTTTTTCTCCAGACTTCACTAATGTGAGAGTTATCCGCTTTCTGGTGAAATGGCCGTCTCTTTCCCCGACCCATATGATTTTTGGCAGGAGAGGTATCATAAATCTGCGAAGTATACTGGTGGCATTACAAACCTAAGTTCCTTGAAAAAGAACATGAGACCCCAAGTCCAAACTAACAGTTTACGCGCAGGAATAAAAAACATCGAACATTCCGGATGCAATATTTTGTACACAGGGAAAGATCATCACATAAAAAATGTTTGGTGTGATGTAAGGGACTCTGAAATTTGATTAATAACAGGTTCTTTTTTGTGAGTTTCGTTCTGTATGTTATTGGATTTTGTATGTGCATTTTTTATTACAGAAATATTAGTGAGATTTTGCAAAACCTATTTTCTGGGCCTTCTATAGTCTGTACATGAAATCTGGTATCATTCCGTTCATTAGTTTCAGCTGCATATGCTTTCAAACAAGGAAAGTTTCTTTGTAACCATCCTGTATTTAACTAAACTTACATTTATGAAATTTATAATTTAATGACAATCAGAAATTTTACGGAATAGTCTTTTAATCGTTTTATCTGTAGAGTGCTTGGTTGCCTCAAGATTAATGATTAAGAATAAAAAATTATGGTTAAAACCAATATTTCTAAAGAAGCTTGAATTTCAAAATGTTTAATACTTACATTTCATATTTATTTTTATATAGTAAAATGAATTAGTTCAATGTACTGCAGCAGTTTGCCAGAAATATAGAAAATAAAAAAGCTTACTTCCAGCACTTTTATAACGTTCAACTATCGCTTTTTTCTCTAATTCATTGAAAATATCAGACATTTTTCTTCTGGTGGACTTCTCTTTAGTGACATGGCCTCTTTCTTCTTCCTCGCGCTTAGTTAAAATGGCTATAAATGCGAAATGAATTTCATTATTACCTGATATGTATAGGAAGTAAAGATTTAATTTTTGTGTTTTTAAAGTTCAGAATTATCTATGTAAACTATACAACGTCTAAACTATAGTCAAATCTTCTAAATATCGACAATAGATCTGAGCGTTAATGCATGCAATGCAAAAATTCAGAAGTAAGAGGAAAGAGCAATTATAGGTTTCAGTTGGCTCAAACGAAATGCACGGTTCTGATGATTAAAAGATTGAATCTCATAATGAGACTTTATACAGAGTACAAATGAAACTGAGTGCCCTATTATATACAGAAAAAAGATGGGGTGCGTGATATATTTATTCTTTTAGATTTAGATGATACTGCTATAAACAATTGAAAAAATATTCAAATTTAATAAATATCCACCAGTCTGTTAATATGTACTTTAATTTAACACAGAGAAAAATATTAAAAAAACTTATTATATAAGTGAACAGAAGGATGAGGTTCACTGAATGATAATATGAAAAAACGATAAATTCGCATCTTATGGCAGTTTAAATGGGAATGGAAACTGAAGCATATACAAGAAAAGCAAATTTAAAACAAAAAATGGTTATAAAGACAGTTTTAAGTATTGGAAAATTGTATATTTTAAAACGTTAAGTAAATTCTCAGTTTTAAAACAATGTTTAAATATCATATTATTCGAAAACTATTCTTCATACTAAGGAACCGTATTCTTAAGTAAAGAAATACTAAAAAAAAAAAAAAAAAAAAAAAAAAAAAAATATTATAAAACTTCTTTTTAAAAATCAATGCTAAAAGACAAGATAAAAAAACCTTTAACAAAAAATTAAAGTGTACTTAAGCACGTTTTTGAAACTTCATATTCGCATGAAAAAGCTCATAAAATTTAATGAAGTTTCCAATTGAAAATAGTCCGTGAAAAACTTTTCACTGTGAACTAACTGTATAACTGTAGATGCGAATAGGTCCCTCCATTTTATGAAAATTTGCATTTTCTTGAGAAAAATTAACATCTTTTTCAATTAACGAAAGAATTAAAGACGGTTTTCGGTTTCATGAAGAAAGGTTAACACTGAAATTATGTTTCAGCTTTAGTTTTACGAAATTATTGAAGAAAATTATGATACAGCATGTCGATTTCAGGTAATTTTGACAAGTCAACTTGATTGCCTTTAAAAATATATAATATAAAACGGGTTTTTAATGTCAATTGTATTATCTGATAACTTTTGCATTCAGAAAAACGCAGGTTTCGTCTTTTGACATCGGAGTAGGCAGGCTTAGAAATTGTAGATCCAATAGATGCGAGTGATACAACTCACGATAAAATAATGACCTTCGCATCCTTTATCTTACATTGTAAGCGTTGTATCTTCTACAACCGAATTTCCGATAGTTAAAAGTGCCACTAACTTTGCATTCACATTTAGGGATTTCAGTTATCACTCGCTTTTCATTTTTAAAAACTGGCATTATATCATACATATTACATCTATATTAGTTGAATATTTATCGTTTCATTATTTCTTTATGTTATTTTACGTTTGATACCCAGTGGCGCAGTGGCTAGCGCATCGCGCAGCAGCACCGCAGGTCCGGAGTTCGAACCCCGGGCTGGGCAAGGTCGACCCAGCCTTTCATCCCTTGATTTCCATCCCTTGGGTCGATAAAATGAGTATCAAGTTCGCTTGCGGACTAAACACTCGGGGTCCTGCGAGAAGCTGATCACTTGTTCAGGGCATATGCTAACGCACTCCGGGGCCCACGGTCAAGAAAGCAGATTTCGGGGCACTACAGGCCTTGGCCTATTAGGGCTGTTTGTGCCACTGAGTTTAGTTTTAGTTTTTTATTTTATGTTTTAAGGTATGTTTGGCATATTTATATAGTTCTTTGTTTGACAATCTTAGCTTGTCTTGAGCTATTTTTTGCATAACATTTGTCGCAAAATCTTTTTGGCTCTACATCATTTCGGTTTTGCAAAGGGGTTTAAGGGGGCGTCGTATTTATTTTCATAACGGAATCTTGTTCGATAAAGGAAAACAGTAGACAAAGGAAGATAATGAAATTGCTAAATGATTTAGGATAAATTTCCTTAGAAATTTCTAAGCCGTTTTCTTAAAGAAATTTTACAGATGTTTAGAAACCTTTCAAAATGTTGTTATAAATCTGTTCAGGAGGTAAACCAGTTGTGAGTTTTTGGTATATGAAGTATCATAACTTAGAAAGCTTCTGTTATACTTTAAAATTACCCTCTTTATTGCTTGTTATGCATCGACTATGACATGTTTCCCACCATCTGTTGAATTTACCAAGTGCAGTGGATAATTCAGGAGTCACTTGTTGCGTTGATGAATAAACCAGCTGGCCATTTTTAAATTTGTGGCAGGAGGAAAACAGCTTAACGAGGTCTCCCAGCCGTGATTCCTCCGTATAGAAAGTCACCTCAACTTCAGAAGGCTCTGAAGTCAAAAGATCCTTTTGTTTTCTCCCTACTGTGAGAAAGCCAAGATTATCCAGAACATTTAACGGATCATTAGAGTCTCCTGAGTAGATACTGGCTTTCTTTTTATCGATAACTGATCCGGGAATGTCTTCAATTACCTGAAAAATAAAGACTTTCTCAAAAGATGATGACTAGGAAAATACTTATAATCTTTAAGAATAAATATTTCTGTGTTCTCTTATTAAATGACTTGAAACTGATTAGCAGAAATTCAATTGTGTAGGAATGCCGTATTTAACTTCTCTATAACTGGGTTTATATATTTAGCGATTTACTCGATAAAATCAGTTACAACTACTCTTTACAGGAAACAAGCTTAGGTTCTATTACATTTTAGACAAAGAAAAAGGATAAATATTATGTAGCAAAAAGAAGTTTCATTTTTGGCAAACTTCTATTTGGGAGAACCTACACTTGCTTACATAAACTGTGAGCGTAAAGCTTCACTCAAAAATTTATTTTTAAGACCTAGTATAAAATATGATCTTCAAAATATCACTAAAAATTAAAAAAAAAAAAAAAAAAAAAAAAAAAAAAAAAAAAAAAAAAAAAAGGAAATTAAAAAAAATAGGAAATCTTTCAGAATTTACATTACGTCCAAAGGGGCGTTTTATTAACACTTTGTGTGTTACCTTTATTAATTAAATATCATGTTCTTCGCACTTAAACCATGAAATTCAATTCAACAGCAATATCGGATACTAATTTTAAAATGAGCATACCTTTAGAATTTCCGATACACAGTCTCACGCGCTGGATATAATTTTTTTTCCGTATAGTGTTGTCATTGCTCGCTTCGAAATCGTCGCGTTTATTAATCAAAAATTCGTTAAATTGCTACAAAATATGAAACCAATAATAAAATAAATACCAAATTAGGACTTCAAGATGCCCATTTTTGTTTGGAGACGTAAATTATTCAAATTTTGATGGCTCTAGGTACCGTTGTTTTATTACAGTGCGAGAATTATGCGAATATTTATGCAAATTCTTCATTATTTAGTTTCTGTAAATATAACACAGTGCGATAATATTTGGTGGCATCAATTTTAAAAGGGAAACATTTGAAATTTTCGACGCAAAATGCCAAAACGAAATTAATAGCACTTCTGGGCTAACGCCCTTTGGGCTAATAATCTGAAAGCTTTCTGATTACCTTTATTTATTAAATATCATGTTATTCGCACTTGAACCATAAAATTCATTTCAGCAGTAATATCGCAAAATATTTAAAAGAGCATATCTTTCAAACTTCCGTCTTGCGTGCTAGAGATAAAAATGTTTTTTTGCCCTGTAGAGTGCTGCCATTGCCCGCTTTGAAATAGTCAAGTTTGTTAATAAAATATGTCGTTAAAGGTTTACAAAATATGAAATAGGTAATGAAACAAACTCCAGGTTCCAAATTTGGGTTTCCTGATGCCAATATTCGAGTGGAGGACTACTTATTCAAAATTTGATGCCTGTAGGTATCGTTGGTTTTCACAATGCGAAAACCATACATGCAATTCATGCTTATTGTTCATTATTTAATTTCTTTAAAGATAATGCAGGGCTCTAATATTTGAGGGCAAAAATTTTAAATGTGAAACGCCGTTTATACTGAAACGCTACAAAATGCCAAAACGAAATTAATAGCTCTTTGGGCTAATAATTATCAAGTATTATTTTGAAATTTCAGTTAAATTATTTTTTTCTTTGATTTCTTTCCCCCGAGAAACTTAAAGGAAATCAGAAGTTCCAAGACAGCTCTACTTCCTAGTTCCAAGACAGTATTTCCAAGAAGTGCTTGGAAGAGTTTAAAATAAATTATTTTAGCAATAATAATTATATATTATTAATTATTACCCATCATAATAATTAATAATATATAATTATTATTGCTAAAATAATTTATTTTAAACTCTTCCACGCAGATGCGAACTAATTTTTATTTTGTAATTGAAAACAAATATGTTTATTACGGAAAACTGGTGGAAAAATTATTAAATAATATATTATTAATATATAAAATATATAAAAAATATTAAATAAATATTATTAATATAAAATATAAATATATATATATTAATATATAAAAATATATAAAATATTATTTAAATAATAATATTAATATATAAATATAATAAAATATTATTAAATAATATTTTCGATGGATTTCTCATTTTCGAACATGTACAATATACAGATGGCTAAACAATCTATCCAAATTTAAGCATTTCCAGTTTCGCAAGCTTTGGAATAATTTAAGTTATTAACGCGTACTGATTGTCGAGAAGTTGGTCTGCTAGAATTAACGATCTCTTAGTTTACAAAGTATCACCTCCAATGAAATCATTTCAACTAAAAATCACAATTTTTAATTTTTTGATTTCAGAAGCAAGAAGCAGCAAGAACTTGGTTTGCATTATTTATCTTATAAAATGCATTTTCAATTACACTCATGTCCATAAATTAAATATAATGCAAAATCAGGC